CCCCGCTGAGCAGGGAGCCCTATGTGGGGCTCCATCCCAGGACCCTGGGATCATGACCCGAGCCGAAGGCAGTCGCTTAACGACTGAGCCACCCAGGCGCCCCTGGAATAGAAAGATTTTTTAAGACATATTATTAAGTGAGGGGAAAAAGCAAGATGCCCAACAGTATATACAAAATTATTCCATTTTTGTAAATTTTTAAAAAGTTGCGCATACGTATGTTGATATATTCATAATTCCTTTCTGAACCATTACATGAGAAATTAAAAATAGTGGATAGCATTAAGAGAGAATCTTGTCTTTTTAAACTGTTTGTACTATTTGAAGTTTTCCTTTGTTAAATTTAATTCAAGCTTGTATTTTAAACTTTCTTTCCCTGAGTAACACAGTTTTTGGGGTGGGCAGTGAGTGGGTGGAGAGAAGATGCGATGTCTTCAGAATCTTTCCTTATCAGTGTATAAAGACCCACCTCATTCTTCTGACTCGTGCATTGCATTCCACCATGAGCTCGTGCTGTGACTTATTTAACCACTAATGGACATTAATAGCCTGTTTCTATTTTTTTGCGAATACAAATAATGCTGTATTAAACATCCTTGAACATTAATCATCGTGCATACATGGACTATTTCTATAATATAGTATAACTGATCTTCTATAGTGTAAATTGCTGGGAGTGGAATTGCTGGGTCAACGAGTACGTGCATTTTTCATTTTGATAGATTTTGCCAATTTGCTCTATAAAAGGGTTGTACTAGTTTACATTTCCACAAGTCATGTCTGAGTACATGTTCTTTCATACCTTGCCAAGCCTGGGTATTATCTGGATAACATTATTAAGATTCTGCATTTAAAGAAATTGGAGATTCTTACTGAAAGAAGCTTAGTTTTGTCCAATGAACTGAAGAAATATTAACAACACTTAAGGTGGTTTCTTCAACTTTTATGTGCATGGACAATGATGACAAAACCAAAAAAAAAAAAAAAAAGTCTACAGTAAAGGGACATGAAAGCCTTCTGGATGGTTTTGCGTTTTCTTTTCTTCCCGGTAGTCCCGGGAGTCTCACCTGGACTCCCACAGACTGAGCTGCTCGTTACAGCCGAGTCATCAAGCACATAAAGGAGTGCCGGAGGCAGCCCAGCCCACAATGGGACCAGGCTCTGCCATCAGGCTGGTGAGCAGGCTCTCACGGGGGTGTGGGCAATAAGCAGCTCTTTCTCCCCACCATTTACATTTTGAAGCACTCCAAAATGTTGCATGAAATGATTTCCATTTTCAGTCAGACCATTTGTTTTATATATCAGGGTAAAAAATTACTCAAATTATTTACATTCATTTTAGCCTTTTTTTCTCTACCTCTCCCCATTTGTTCTTGGCATTTTAAAACAGCCTTATTTGAGATATAATTAACATACCATGCAACTCACCCGAAGTATATTTACAGAGAGATACAACCATCACCACTGTAACTTCAGAACATTTTCACTACCCCAAAAAGAAATTGTGCCCCTTAACTATTACCCATCCTCATTCCTCCATCCTCCTCTGCCCTCCCATCCCCTTTTCTTTTCTTCTTTTTTCTTTATTTTTTAGTGAGCTCTATGCCTAATGTGAGGCTTGAACTCACGACCCCGAGATCAAGTGTCGCATGCTCCACCCACTGAACCAGCCAGGTGCCCCCCCATCCCCTTTTAAAAACCTCTCTCCCGGGGCGCCTGGGAGGTTCAGTCAGTTAAGCATCTGCTTTCAGCTCAGGTCATGATCCCAGGGTCCTTGGATGGAGCCCTGCCTGCCGGTCCCCCTGCTTGTGCTCTCTCTCTCTCTCTCTCTGACATATAAATAAATAAAAAATCTGTAAAAAACAAACAAACAAACCAAAAACAAAACCCAAAAACAAAACCCAAAAACCCCTAATAAGTTTTCTGGCTCTACCCAGACTCATCTTCAGGAAATTCAAAGCTATCAGCCAAACCCAGTGCAGTGTGTGCGGTCCTGGGGAGCACAAGCAAAACACTCCTTAGCTAATTTTTCTCAGCATCCTACTCATAAGAGAACTTGTGCATCTGTGCCTGTTTAGATTAGGAAGAAGTGCATGCTTCCAGTGTGAAGGATGGAGAGACTCTGAAATACATGAACAAAGCAACTAACAGCTGTTGAGCACCCACCAATCACAGACCCTGCTATGGGCACAGCACCCCACAGTTTGCAAAACACTGTCCGGTTGGGAGTGGCACTAGTCAGTGTCCAGGGAAGTCCCTCTGAGAATGGACATGGCTCTCATGGCTCTTGTAAGGGACACCATTCATGTGTTACTGTGTGAGGTCAGCTAAGAAAGCCTGTCTGGTAGCCATAATTGTTTGATTTTAGCAAATTTGGCACACGGATTTTGGCAAGTTAAAATAGCAGCTTCTCTCTAATCTGTGGTTAATGTGCAGGGGTGGGAGTGGAATTGATGAGGAGGGGGTGAATGCAGGGGAGGAAATGATGAGGGGAAGAGCACTGGATTCTGATCTCAACTCTGCAGGCTTCTGAGCAAATTCCTCATTTATCTGGATCTTGGGTTCCTGAGACTCAATGATCTCCCAGTACCTTCTAGACTCTTAAAATTTTGAATCAAAACCCCAAGCGTGAATTTGAGAATTTGTATATTTAGAAGCATAGCCTATCACTTTTATTACTGCTTATTTAACAGGTGGTTATATTTTTATTTTGCAAACTTGCTTTGGACTGAGTTTTGTGATGACTGTCATCTTTATTATGAGCATAATTTGGAACTAACCTGGATTTCATGAAGCGCTTCTCCTCCTAATACACTAGATGGCACCAGAGGCAAGGCAAATCAAATTCCCCCAAAAAAGGCGGGGGAGGGAGGGTAGGTTTTGACTACCAAAGTCAAAGTTATTAAATATGGTAAATTCAAAAGGTTTCAGTCTTTATCAAGAATCGTTGTGTCAACATCTTCAGAAAGATGAGCAAACACTGCCAGTGTTAAACATCTTAATATCAGGATAGTCTTTCATTTTGTGTAGCAGCTTTCAAACTGTGACTGTGACCAACTGTAAGATATCTTAGATTGGGACCCAACACATATACACACATGCTAAAGCAACAGAAGTTCCACAGAGCAATCCTAAGCTTTCTTCCCTGTCATGAATTCTGAGACAATTCTCTTGCATTGAAGGGAAGCCTTGGGGGCATCGGCGGGGGGGGGGGGAGGGTAAATGACACATTATCTGATGTATTTGATGGTGAGGAAAGTGATGAGGGGCCTTTAGAGGTGTGTTGGTGTTTCAAAATGAGCAATAGGTATACAGAAAAGTAACCAAGCTAAAAAAAATGAGGCAATTATTCATTCCAAGAAAAATAATGTACAGAAATGGAAAAGTACTCTCTGGTTCAGCAGTGAACATTGTTTACATGGTTACAATAATAGAACGACCGAATACTGGTATCACTGTAAGGGGAGGGGAGGGTGAAAAGTTGGATGGCAGCTTAGTTCTCATCTACCTTAACAGGATGTGACTAGTGAATGCCTAATATTCACGTATCATGGAACACTGATATATTTAGAAACGTGGAGGTAAATATCAGAAGAAACAGCTAAAGTACCTAAGGTTGTTGCGTCTAGGGAGTGGGTGCGGGTGGGGTAGTGGAGTGGGGTAGAGACTATTTTTTTTCTTTAAAAATGTATAGTGCTATTATTCAGCCTTAAAAAAGGAAAAAAAATTGGACACATACTACAACATGGATGAACCTTGATGACATTGTGCCGAGTGAAATTAGCTAGACACCGAAGGTCAAATACTGAATGAGTCCACTTCCATGAGGGACCTAGTAGAGGCCAATTCATAGAGACGGGAAATAAAATGGGGGTCGCCAGGGCTTAGGGGGTGGGGGGGGGCATTATTGCTTAATGAATACAGAGTTTTAGTTGGGAGAGATAAAAAAGTTCTGAGGACGGATGGTGGTGATGGTGGCACAAGAGTATAAATGTGCTTAATGCCACTCAACTATACATATAAACAGCTGAAATGCTACATTTTATCTCATGTATGTTTCAGCACACCCAAAAAGCAATGTAAGAAGGAAAATAATTTATGGTGCTGTTTGAATTTTAAATAGCTGTCCGCCCACTTTAATTTCAGTACATTAATTTTTAGAAAGCTTTGGATGAATGAAAAGTTTTCGTATGTGTCATGAGCGTGAGTGTTTGCACATAGATTTTATGATACGATTTGGGCCACTCAGGGGCCTTTTTTGCTTTTATCCAGTTCTTACCTGTATTCTTCTTAAAGATGTTAGGTAAGCTATTCTCAAGTCAGGGAGGTATTACTGAAAGTAGGTAATTTATGAATACATTTCCGGGGCATCTGAGATACCAGGTAACTAAATGTAGCACATGAACACTGAATAAATGTACAGATACATCCAGTTTGAATAAGGACATTATTACGCAGGAATTTCCCTTTTCTGGCCTCTGTTACTCTCAGTGGATATTCTGGATGTTTGGCTGTGTAGTCACCTGCTGAATGGCTTACTGGAATTCGTCACCACATCTGTGCTGGGACTAGGTGGGACTCTCGAGTGAAGCGAAGATGTCGTAGCAGGTGAATACCTGTGATGTCAGAGCTGATTTCTAGCTCATGAGTTTCTCTTTACCATCGCTTTCCTTAACCTGGCCCAAATAGGAGTGTATATATCCGCTTCTTTGCAGTTAGGAGCAATAAAATGCCAATTAGCTTGGCCATAAGAAGTTGACTAGCAAAGCGCAATTCTAATTTAAATCACCGTGCCTTCAGTTTACAATTGAGAAGACAGCTCTAAGAAGAAGACAATGGAAAATAACTTTATATATCCTTAGAGACGTCAAACTGCCTTCCAGCCTTTAAGTCATGCTTCTTGGTTTTGACAGGTTACATTTCCCGTCAACAGTTTATTGCTATAAAAAGAGTGTTCTATCTCATTGTCATCCCATTTAAATTTTCCTTTTTGTTCACAGTGCGAGATGAGGACAGAAGCACGACGAAAAAATCTTCTTGTTTTGATTTTGCATTACTTAACACAAGAAGGGTATGTTACATTACAAATATTTACAGAGATGATTCCTCTCTTTCTCTGACCCCCACTTTTCCAGATACACACTTACCAAAATAGTTCATAGAATTTATTTTTTAGAGCAGTTTTCTATTTATAGAAAAACTGAGCAGAAAGTATAGAGACCTCCCATCTATTGGGAATCCCCCCGCCCCAGCCAGTCTCCCCTATTATTAACATCTTACATTGGCATGGAACACTTGTCACAACTGGAGAACCAATCTTGATACGTTCTTGTTAGCTGACATCCATAGTTTCCATCAGGGTTTACTCTTGGGCTGTATAATTCCGTGAGCTTTGACAAATGCATAATGTATCCAGCGTTGTAGTATCATATCCAATAGCTTCGCCCTAAAAATCCCTTGTGCTCTGCCTATCCCTGCCCCCATGTTCAGCAACCCAGACACATACTTTTATTGCCTCATTTACATAGATATTATTCCCATTACGCATTTGAAAACTTTAACAAAGCTACCCAGGTCCTGAGATACCTTCCCTTTCCCGTTCGGGTTTCAGGCCTATCAAATGAGATTCCTGGGGTCCCACTGCTGGGTATCTACACAGAAATAATGCTCTTATTCCTCAATTCTCCTTCCCTCAAAATAAAGGTATCGCATTTACCTGATGACCTGTGCTTGACTCTCTTTTCTGGGTAATGCCATCGATAACCAGCAGGGGAGGAAATTGTGAAGCATTTGAATTTGGCCACCTACCTGATTCAGAAGCGTGCAAGCCCTTACAATGAAGGCTGCCAGTGTTCTGGGTTTTGTGAGGAAGAGAGCGCATCCACTCTTTACTTTCAAGTTTCCTTTCTTTCCAAGTTTCAGCCAGGAAGAAAATATTCGGGTTTCAGGCTTAGGGCTTGAACTTTCAAGTTAAAGCAGCAGGTCTCAACTGGGGTGATTTTACCACTTGGAGGACATTTGGCAATGTCAGGAGATGTTTCTGACTGTTACAATGGCACCAAGAGGGGAGAGGGCAGGGATGCTGCTAAACATCCTTCAGTTCACGGGACAGCAACCCACAACAGGGTTATCCAGCCCCAAATATCAACCGTGCCAAGACACTGTATCAGGAGGAACTGTGAAAACAAAAGGACAAACAAAGAAAAGTCAGCATAGTTTATCCCTTCTCCTACAGGGCTTACTGTGTATTTACAAAGCATGCATTTCCCCTTTCTGCCCCAAGATGGCCCCTTGCATCTCGAATTAATGAAAATTCTACTAGAGTTGATCATTTTCCTGAGACCCGCTGGTTAAAGTACTTATGAGTGGATCCTCAAGATGAAAAGTAAACTGTCAGAAAAGTAGACCTACCTTTAACAAAATACTAAGAATTTATCCTCACAAAGAGGATAAATTATAGTGGATTGGAATAAACAAAAAGCTTTGTAGAGAAGGTGATGTGAGCTGGTCTTGAAAGATGTATAGAATACGGATAGACAGACATGATGGACGAAGATATTCTAGGCAGGCGCGGAGAGAAAAAAAGGAAAGAGAAGAAAAAAAGAAAGAAAGAAAGAAAGAAAGAAAGAAAGAAAGAAAGAAAGAAAGAAAGAAAGAAGAAAGAAAGAAAGAAAAGAAAGAAAGAAAGAAAGAAGAAAGAAAGAAAGAGAAAGAAAGAAAGAAAGAAAGAAAAGAAAGAAAGAAAGAAAAGAAAGAAAGAAAGAAAAGAAAGAAAGAAAGAAAGAAATGGCACGACCTAAGTGGAACAATTAGGTAAACAGAAAGACCAGAGGTTGACTATCAATTGACACTTAAACAATGTCTTTAAAATTAGCAAGGTCACTGGAAATAATCATGGCAACCTCGTTTAAGAAAGTTCAAGTTTCCAACTGCCCTGAATCTGGGGCAGGGAAGAGAGCATAATAAAGTTTTCTCCTACTTTCCCAGATTAGAATCAAACAGCAAGAACTCTGTCCTGCAGCAGGAATTCTTAATCTGAGGTCCTTGGATGAAATTGTATGCTAACTTGTGCATATTTGCACACTTTTCAGGAGAGAGTCGTTGGTTTCAATAAGAAGTCAAGAGTTAAGATTAAGACCTGCAAAGTCTTTCCACTTTCAGAGGATTGTGAGACAAAGCATTTGTTTTTATTGCTAAGACCACTTAAGTTGGACAGCCCTCCAACTGAACAGGTTAAAAATCTTTCCCTGGGGAAGATGGTGCTTACACCCACAGTCAGCTGCTAGGGTCATGTGTGACTGAAGAAAAAACTACCAGAAGTAATACATCCAAGCCGATGATGTCTTCTTATACCTCATTTCCCTCAGTGATATTGATCAACATAGATTTGGAATTTCCTTCAGAACTCATGACCTACCCTTTTCAGCTGCAGCAAAATCATGGTGAATCTTGCTTGCCTCTTGGGGTTGAATTTGGGTTTATCAATTGCCCGATGTTATCTAAAACGATTGCTGGTGAATAAAGAGGTAATCAAGTTGGGCAAATCTTTAAGCTAAAAATGAGTAAAGGTAAAGCACAAGACATTTTCTTAGTTGATTTACTTATTTGACTTTTAAGCACTTCCAAAAACATTTTGAACCATGATGACATCAGTAGAGTAAGTACATAGCTTCCCGAGGCAACTGTTTTGAAAAACACTATGTGCATATCCTCACAGTATGTGGGGCTCCTTACTCTATAGGCAAACCTCATGTATTCTAACTGTTATCTAACGTACTACTTAATATGAGCTTACTATTTGTATTGAACATCTTTAGACTTGTCATGCCTCTTTGCCGTTATTCATTTTACCCAGAGTTAATTCTTTTTTTCTTCCTTTTTTTTTTTTTTCTTTTCTTCATGAAATGGCCAGATATATTGATGCAGCCAATGCTTTGGAGCAAGAAACTAAACTGGGGTTACGACGCTTTGAAGTTTGTGACAACATTGACCTTGAAACTATTTTGATGGAATATGAGAGCTATTATTTTGTGAAATTTCAGAAATACCCCAAAATTGTCAAAAAGGCATCAGACACAGGTACATGGCTATTTTCTAGAAATAAGGTTTTCTCCCATCTTTAAGATTAGTGTTTCTTCCTCATTGTATTCCCAGATAGATGCTACCGCCAGCCTCTACTGAAAGAATAGACTGGAAAGACTGTGTAGCCTCTATTAGGTCCTGTACAGACAATGTAAACGTGATTGTCTGGGCAGTGATGTCCCTATAGCCATGTTGGTATTTGCTCAAGGAATGTATGTTTTAGGACAAGGAAAGCAAGACCCCAGTGTATCACAGTTATTTTTTAGAAGACTAACATTACTTTCATTTCTTTAGAGATGGAAAGAGCTGTTGGAAGAGGATAAATGACAGAAGACTTTTTGTTGTTGTTGTTAGGAAGACCTATTATCTATCTTGAAAATAACATGAAAATGAGTATTGGTGAAGCTAATAGCTCATGTATAGATAATGAAATGCTTTTGAAAGCCATCAATCCAGATAATGATCAATATAATGCAAAGACCCAGTATAGGTTAGCAGTCAAGGAGGCTGGCTGGAGGAAAGATCTAAAGTGAAGGCCCTATGTTTTGTAGTAACACTGACTTAGACGTCTGTAAGTGGGGGAAGTAATTATAAACCAAGGGAGATCATTGTCCTGTTTACAAGGCACTTGTTAAGCCACAGACTTTAACATTTCATGTGGGGACCCGGAAACCAAGAGGAATGTCAATTAAAAATAGCTGGGGAGAATCTCCTAGCTGGAAGGGATGTTTTATCTGAGCTCCTTTCCAATGCAACGTTCAGAGCTCCAAGTTCTTGGCTGGTTGTTGGATCTGGGTTTTGGCAGAGAAAGCACTGACGCCTAACCACTGGGCCACCAGGACTATCACTGACACGATCTAATTTCTAGATTGCTGGTTCTGATCTAACTTGGAACCATAGTCTCCTGGGATATTGGACACCATGTGTTTATTTTAAGGTAAACTGGCAGAGTACTGATAAATGTTCATGCAATCAATCGCCCTGGTGTCCCAGAGATCACAAAGCAAAATGGCAAGTTGATGAAAACTTGAAATGGTTCCTGTCACCTGGCCCACACTGACGCCGCCACCAGGTTCATGGTTTCCAACACGTTTCATAGCTGAGGGCTTTGGGGTCCTCCTCTGTGTGGAAATGCTCGGGAAACACAGGCTTCTTTCTCTTTGCTGGTAGTTTCACTTCTTTCTACATGAGAATAGCTTAAAGCTCCTGGATTCCACAAGGCTGTAGCACAAATTTTAAGAACAATGTGAAAGGACAAACATACCTGACAAATCACTTTCTCTTAAAAAATTAAATTCTTTCCCTTTCCTCCCAATATTTGTTTTGCCACAGCGGAAAATAATTTACCACCAAGAAGTGGAGGGAAGACCAGAAGGTAAAATGAATGGTAATTCATCTTGACCAACCCAACTCTAGGAGTTTGTGGGATCCCTTTCCTGAAGATTCTCCATCTCAACTCCATGTTTGTCTACCAGCAATTGCAGACTATGATCATGTGACCTTGGTGGGCCCAACCATGGGTTCTCCTCATGTTACAGATGTCCAGGATATGAGTCACTGTCTGTTGGTTCTCCTGGTTTTATCACAAATAACTGCATTCACTGGTGCCCTTTCGAGGCTCTGTGCTATGAAGAGTACAGACCTTAGAGATGAAAAGGTCCAGGTTCAATTCCTGGCTCTGCTACTCACCAGCTTGGAGCAAGTTTCTGACACAAAGTGAGGTCCCCACATGTAGAGAGCACCCACACATGCTTCATGATAATATTCTTAATAATGCTCTACCTGAGGCTACCTTTGCTTTGTGCTATTCTTTAGGAACAGTTTTATTGTTTTGACCAAAGTGTTATCCTTTTATTTATAGTTTCCATAAAGCTAGTCAGACTCTGACAATGAATGATAACTACTTTTGAACAGAAACAGTGAGGAGCATTTTAAGAGGCCAGCTTCGGCATGCATTTGGATTCTGATTATTTTTCAGCCGCATGCTCATACCTGGAACTTCCCCAGCATTCTCTACCTGGCAGAATGTTCCATGAGTGAATGTCTTCTGAGCACTTTGCTTCTCTTTAGGGATGGAGCTTGGCAGCTTGGGTGTCTTCAGCTCCTCTCTGAGTAAATGTTTGTACGTGGCAAGCATAGAGGTCAGACAGCAAATGGTTGGAGTTAAGAAGGATAATTAGGAAATTAATGAACAGTGTTTGTTTATAATTTTATAATTGAAGATAGCTATTGAAATGAGAGGTTGTGTCATGAGACTTGCTATTAACAAATGAAAGTACCTTCTCCTAATTTGGGCATCTCACACCAGAGAGCAAGCTCCCAGGTTACAGATTTGCAGATGACCCAGTGGAGGAATGGTTATTTAATGTGATGGATAACAGAATTAGGATGCCAAAAAATCTTGACAATTTGGAAGATGGGCTCGAAATAACAAGATGAAACTTAACAAAATAAGGCGTAAGCTTTAACTAAAGATTAAGACAAATAGCTCCCTCATTACAAAATCAGAGACCCAGAAATTTGAGTTAACAACAGATGCAGTGGGAACTCAACAACGTGAGGTGATTGCCAATGTGGGTCTCGGGCCACAATAATAGAAATACAGTATCCACAAAATAGGAGGTGACTCTATTGTGGTCAGAAGACAGTGGACAAAGGAAAAATGACCAGGATGAGGATGAATCTGGGAGCCAGGTAACCTTAAAAATGATTGGAGCAGCTGGTGATGTTTAGCTTGAAGAATGGAAGACTTGGGGAGGAGGTGCCCCTAGAACAACATGGTACCAGACTTCACTCTTTAAAGAAGGCTGAGCTTTCTTTGTAGAATTCCATAGGGCATACCTGGGAGTGGCAACTAGAGTTACAGCGGGGTGAATTTGGTTCCATATTGGGAAGAATTTTACAATCGTTAGAGCTGATGGGAAATGAATTGTACTGCTTTGCACTTTAAGCACTTGTCTTTGATAGTGTTAAGGCAAATCTGTGAATCACTTGCCTCTAAAGGGAAATCAAAGAGGGGAAGCAGACTCCCAGTTCCCTGCCAGCTCCGCAATGATGTTAGGCAAGTTTAACTATATATATATGACCTCACTTCATTTAAATCAATGCTATTCATAAGAGTTTGCACTTGTAAAATGTTTGGTATTCATTTCATAGATATTTCATTTTTGTGCCAGCAAAAGGCCTGAGGGACAGGCATTTTTATTCCTAATTTACAGGTGAAAAACAAATGCTGTCTACCTCTTATGACACTCACTCCAGTGGGTCAACACTGGGGTCACTGTGTATGGACATTGGTGGTGTTATTGGTGTGGGTGGTCTTGCTGGCCACACACCTATGTGTTTATATTAGACACAAACAACTTTTTCTTTCCCACAAAGAAATGGAGAAATAGCTGCTCTCTGAGACCCAGTAGAACATGGGAGAAATGCTTCCAGTGAAACTCTCGCAAACACATCTCACATGTAAGGACAAAGGAACTGAGAAAACCAAACAGCTTCTGATGTGGGAGTTCATGCTGTGCCCCTGAAGCAGTCCTGCTTCTCTCTAATGTTATCTCCTATCTAACAATATTCCAATCCTGAATTTTTAGGTCTCATGGACAGGACCTCGTGAACAAATTTATTTTACTTTTGCACTGATGTATATAACATATATAACATATATATGCAGTCAAACACATATATACACATATATATGCAGTCAAACACATATATACATATATATGCAGTCAAACACATATATACTCTTGTAAGTGCCACCATCCCAGCAACCCCCCAGCAGGCTCCCTTCACAGCCAATACTCCCCATGGCCACCAGAGGTAGCCACTATCTGACTTCCAGCCCATCAATTTCTTTTGCTTTAAGTGAACAATATTTGGTGAACATTTGTTTTGCAAATATGAAGATCTGTGACAAAAGAGATGAGGTAAGGTTTGCTTCCCTTCCACAAGTCCCCTCTAGGTACACCCAGCACACTGGATCAAAACCACTGGCAAATCCCTAGGCTTTCTCCTTCATCCCCACAACCTGTCCCCTGGTCTGCATACTGTTCTTTAAGGAAGATGAGAAGAAACGTTGGAGAAATGCTTGCAAAGCCATGTGTTCTTGAGAATACAAAGCTATGTGCAGAAAGGCTGGAGACAGGTGGCATGAGGGAAAATGAAGAGGAGGTCAGGGGCCTCCGGGGGGAGGTGGATCCTCTAGCCTAGTCTTGGAGGAACCCAAGGGGTAGACTGGATCAAGTCAGAGCCAAGATGGATGGGGTGGGAGGGCAGTGAAGATGGAAGGGCCCAACTGTGGTACGTCTGCCTATCTTTCTAGAACTCTTTCTTTAAAATGTGCTACACAAGTTGTTTAGTTACCTCAAATTAAGTGGTTAGAATAATTCCTTCCAAGGTCTTTGTTCCCTCCCCTAGGGTGATGAGCGACAGTTGTCAAAATCTTCCCAAGATCAGTCAGCAGAGGCCACGGTCCAGAACCACAGTGGGGAAATCAGGGGATGTCAAATCCCTCCATAAGGAGCATCCTAAACAGGTCTGGACAGCTTTGCTTGGCATTGGTAAAATTGCAGGTGGCTGAGAAATAGCTCCAAGAAAAAAGTCACATTTATTTATTTAAGGACAATGTTTTTAAAATGCTGTGTGATTTTGTTAAATTGTAGATTTTCTTCTGGATTAAAACCACAGGCAAATCTCTAGTCTTCCTAATGTTTTTTAATTTGAGTGGGAGGTCTCCTTCCTCTCCCTAGCCTCTCCTCTGGTCAGAGTGCTGGGTGACAGGCTTTGAGGGGTTAGCCCTGGGCCCAGTCAAAGCAGGGGGCCTGGTTGCTACAATGCTCAGTCATCCCATTTGCGGTAACTGTAGGTGGCAAGCCTTCCTGTCCCAAAGCACATCCCTGGGCTCCTTAGATTAGGCCAGGGATAGTCTCAGGAATGACTGGGTTTCTCCAAAGCACACATGGTTGGTCCCCACTCCGGACCTCCACACTGGACAATCTTGGGGATAGGGTGGACAGCAAGAGGAGAGAGCCCAGCAGGTGGGTGAGATCAATGGCTCCTGACTCAGGGGATCCATACCTAGAACCTCCCTGGGTTGGGACAAACATACCAGGTTTCAGAGGAAAGAGAACCAATTGAAATTGGGAAAAGGAATGGGAAGACTGGATGTCAGAGATGCCCAGTGGGAGAGAAAGGAGTAATCATGAAACTCAATTGTCAGAAGGAATCTCGCACTCTCAAAGAGGTTGTATACCTCTGGCCAGTGTAGTCTGACTCAGGTGGAAGGGAGGTGAAGGTGGGGCAAGAGAATTCCACAGGTGGCTGGTTGACTATTGACTCTGCTCCATCTCCAAACTCAGCCACTCCCAGCATCAAACACCTCTGGTCACAGGAGAAAAGCCAGAGTGGGTTTGGGCTGAGGCACCGTGGTTTCCTCCACTGGAAAAGCTCCTTGGAGCCCATGGCTTCCAGCGACAGCTCTTCCCACATGGCGCAGGCAGCCAGCGAACTCATCTTGTTGGGACTGCACAGAAGTGGCACATGGGGTTCCCATCTACTGAACTGATATCCAGTGTGTGATTTGGGACGATGGAATTGGCAGTTTCTACCGGCCTCTGTAACTTGCTTTCCATGGCTGACTTCCCACTGGCTTCCTCTTTCTTCAGGAGGCTGTCACTAATTCTCATGCGGAGGGTGCTGACTTTGGCTTGAGTATATCAGGAATCAACAAAGGCAGTGGAGAAGAAAACGTCCGCCCACAAAAAGTAAGTGGAATTCATGAACCTAGCACCAAAAGGGGAAATCCCTTTTCTTTCTAAAAATGAAAATTAAAAAATGTTACTGTTGTCAAATAGAAAAGCTAATATAGAACGGTCAGAGCCTGGCTATGAGGTGGGCTGAGAAGAACACTGGGTGAGGATTAGAGCCCTGGGGTTCTGGTCTGCATCTCCTTTCTGGATGAATGGTCTTGAAGGAACTCCCCATCTCTAAGAAGCTCAGTCTCCCTATTTGTAAACTCAGGGGTTTGGAAGAGATGGCTTCTAACGTCACCGTCGGCTTAAACATCCTGTGATTGAAACGGTAAAGGCTGGTGTTCTGCGTTATTGAAGGTGTTACGGCGGTGTACTCATCCTTCTCCTCCTCCCTGCCTGTGGTGGTTGACCCACCACAGCCCACAGACAAGGTGGTGGCACCTTGTCTCCCTGGGGCTGTGGCTCTAGGCTTAACTGTCATTTCACGTGAACCATGAAACCTCAGTTCAAATAGGGTGGATCTTGTCCCTAATAGATATCTCTACCCCTTTCATAATGAACCTCGTGTCTTGATTCATAAATAAGAGCTGCTCAAATAGAAAAGACTGATTGGGTAGATGTAGGCAAAAAGCAGGTTAACACATGTCCTTTGGAGATGCGAAGAAGCAGTATCAACATCAACAGGTTTCTCTTGATTATAACTTCAGGGCTGTATTTCTTGTAAGAGCCACCTCTCTTTCTTTGGGCAAGTTCTCAGACTACAGGACTTCAGATTTACCTCCAGCTGGCTCTTCTTGGGTAAACGAGACTCTGGCTGTGTGTGCTTGGAGGGGAAGCTGGGAGCCTCTCCCTGGAAATGAAGGGAGCTCTCATTGGCCTTAACTGGCTCCTTTGGAGGGCCTCAATTATAGAGGTGATCGCGGGAGATGATGCATTCAGATCAGTGCCTCCCTCGGAGAAATACTTCCCAGTTCACCTCTGCCAATTTCATTGTGTTTTCAGCCACTTTGGCCTAGTAATTTTGTGGCCCTAGTTTCTCCCGTGAACATCTCACATTGATATGAATAGTTGTCTCTGATCAGGTCACAAGGAAGGGACTATTTAACCCAGCACTTAACCTTTGAAGGAGTCTGGTTATAAGTTCTCTTTCCAGCAGAAGTGTCCTCAGGGTTAAAATGTAGATGGTTTTCTTCCTAGCACTACCAATGTTCATAAACTGAACAAGGGTATATGGCCAGGGGCCCATCTCCAAAATGGGTCTATCAATGCCATGTTAGGGCCCCTAGCTTCGGGGTTCCTGAGCCCCCCTACAGATTTAGTAGGCATGGTGTTCTTAAAGGCACTAGTCAGATTGCCTAGGTTCAAAACCCTGCTCAGACTTTCCCAGCTGTGTGACCTTGGGAAAGTTGTTCAATCTTGCCAAGCCTCATTTCTCTCATCTAGAAAATGGAAATAATCAGTGTGTGCTTTAAATATCATGAGCGGAGAGTGTTAGCACAGTGCCCGGCATATAACATGCACTCAGTAAGTGCTGGCAACTGCTGCCATTATTCGTTTTCTGCACGCATCCTTCCTTTTTCCTTCTGCCTGTGGGGAAGTCAAGGGGGCGCTGGGAGGAGTATGGGAGACAGATATCTGGGTTTGAATCCTGGCCTTAAGCCACTTGTTAGATGGGACTCTACTGAGTGGAGAACGTACATGATAGTAAGCGGGAGCTATCGTTACTCTTACGGGTTCCCACACAGGAAGCCAATGAGTTCTTCCTGTGTGGGGGATGTTTCCCAGGACCAGACAACGTAGGGGAGGCAGACCTGTAAGCAAGCAGAGGGCGTGGTGTCAGAAAAATGCTTGTGAATTTTCATTCAAACCAACTTCATTCTGAAGAGTTTATTTGCAACTTAATTTTTTTTTTCTAGAGTGCCCAACTTGAAGAAATCGTCTCGTTTATGCTTAGTGCAGGTTCTTTTTAAAGCCTCACATTACGTTTGCCCTACATACCAGGATACATAAATGTGACTTGATTGACTGAAGCTGAGCAATTAGGGATAGTCTTCCCCCATGTTTTAATGGTGGAAATAACCATTACTCCCTTTCAGGGCCAAATCATTGACTTCCGAGGGCTGCTCACAGATGCCATCAAAGGAGCAACCAGCGAACTTGGCCTGAACAGCTTTGACTGTAACCCCGACCCCTCAGTAAGTGGCTAAGATGTGACATTCATCTTGCAAACTACCAACATCTAGACGAACTTCAGAAATATAATTTTGAGTCCAGGGAAACCTTGAGATCAAATCGAAGGTCACAGCAACCTGCCACCACTTATGTCACCGAGATCCACGCCCCGTTTTGCTTTCTAAATTATGAGCAATATTGTAACGTAAAGCTTTCTGTTCCTATCGTCAGGAACGATTGTTGAAACCTCTGAGTGCACTTATTGGCATGAATAGTGAGATGCGAGAATTGGCAGCCGTGGTGAGCCGGGTAAGATCTGATACTCAATTCACAAATTTACGGAGGTGGATTGGGGCTCCTGGAACATTGTGGGCTGCTTCTTTTATTAATAACAATAAATATGATCATTTATTTATAAAGTGCCCCCACTTGCAAAGGCACTCATATTGTTTAGAGGCACAATAATGCATGATAAATAAATTATAGAATCATAAAATTACAATACAAAAAGCCCACCATCTCACTACAGAGGCCAAGAAAAACAAAAGGGAAAAAGACTTAGAAGGGAAGGGACAGGTGAAAGGTTTTAGAGCAGAGCCAAGAGTTAAGGAAAGAAAGCCTCTTAGAGAAGGAAAGAGCATGCCTGTGTCTTGTTTAAACAGTCAAAGTCTAGAAACAGAGATGTTGGGAGTATGATGATTGCATAATTGGAAATTTCCATGAAAAACAAGATTAGCAGGAAAGAGCTTATCATCTGGACTACTGATTTTTAAGCTTACCCTCCAGAATTTATTTAATTTCTTCTTTTTTTAGAAAATTTAAATTCAATTAGTCAACATATAAGTACATCATTACTTTTAGATGTAGAGTTCAGCAATTCATCAGTTGCCTATAACACCCAGTGCTCATCACATCACGCGCTCTCCTTACTGCCCGTCACCATTATCCCATCCCCCCACCCACCTCCCTACCCTCCAGAATTTAAAAACAGTGAAGTCTCATGGTTAACGACTGGAATCAGCTCTGGGATCAGTTGAGCTGGATTTGATTTCTACATCCTTCTCTTTCTAGCCATGTGACTTTGAGCAAGTTCCTTGGAAACAGAATAGATTCCTGAGTTATAGGGTACTTATCTGATATCCAGCAATCTCATATTTAATGAAAGACTGAAACCCAAGCAGACTCAGAGAGATGTTTAAGATGCTCCAAAAAATGCACAGATATTCTGCAGTAATTAAGGGTTCCCTAGCTCTGGCTATTCAGTTCAGCCGCTGTTACTGCCCCTATTAGTTATCGAGCATGTGCTGGGGGCTAGAAACACAAAGATGAACGAATCAGACACAGTCCTTGCCTATAAAAGTCTTTCATCCCATGGGTAAGGTGCACTTGGAGAACATAAAGGAGGGGTATTTTGTGCCAAAGGGTAGGGAAAGCATTAGGAAAGAAGATACACAAGAAACAGGCACACGAAAATGCACAAGAGGAAGGGTGGAGGGTTCTGGACCAAACAACATACCTGGAAATTGTACAGCTTTGAGCTGAATGAGCCACAAGGAGTGGTGGGGAAGGGGGCTGCAGAAAGAGGCCAAGTAAGGGGCACAGTGAGCACTAGCCCAGGGCTGGAAGTGGCCTGTAGGACATGGGAAATCTTTGAAAGGTGTCCATTGGGAGAATGGGATACTCAAATGTGCTTTTAGTCTGTCCTAATGACAGTGTGGTGGCTGGATATCAAAGAAATGGAGATGAGGAGACCAGCTCCCAAGTTACTACTAGTGAGAGAGGATGAGGTCTGAGCCAGGCTGTGGTAATTAGGATGCAAAGGAGAGCAGAGAAAAAAAAATTTTAATGCCCTTAAAAATCAATAGTCTTGGGCGCCTGGGTGGCTCAGTTGGTTAAGCGACTGCCTTCGGCTCAGGTCATGATCCTGGAGTCCCGGGATCGAGTCCCGCATCGGGCTCCCTGCTCAGCGGGGAGTCTGCTTTGCCCTCTGACCCTATCCCCTCTCATGTGTTCTCTCTCATTCTCTGTCTCTCAAATAAATAAATAAAATCTTTAAAAAAAAAAAAATCAATAGTCTTGTTACTGTTTCTGCAAAAAGACAACATGACTAGTGATGACAGAGTTACAGAGTAGAAGTGGCCCGAAATGATTCCACCGAGCATCTTTTCTATAATACCATGGGAAGTAGTCATCCAGTCTCTGCTTGAATGCTTACAGTGATGGGGAGATCACCACCTCATGACTGATAACTTTTGTTGCTCTAAGGAGGAACTTCCTATTGGGAAATTAAACACTGCTCGGTGGAACTCAATGTCAGCTCTAGACGAGGGCAAGAAATACTGCTCTGATCTATGGATGCTTTGAATTCCAGGGTAGATGAATCCCCACTCTGTGCCAAGCTTTTCCTAAGAAAGTGTGGTAATAAGTTGTGAGTGGGTGGTGGGCTTTCCTGCAGATCCACAATCTAAATATGGGACGTTCTCCCAAGATTTTGGAAGACGGAGTCCTTTCTCTGTCACTGTATCAATGGATCATGCCTATTACGCATGGGATGGGGATATAACATCTCACCAGCATTGAAAAAACATATTTTTAAA